TTGAAAGTTAGTAAAATTAGGGAACCATGTGTAGTACATATTAACATATGCGGGTTATTGGCGGTTTTTCTGGAAAAAAAAAATACCCCCAAATCCGAACGGGACCCTTTCACCACTTTTTTGTGGGGGGGAAAGGAGCAAGCCACAGGGCGCTACAGTTCCACAAACTAGTGCAAGTGTACCATTTTATCCTCTCTGGGGGCTGCACCCTGAAAGTTTTGACTAAAATGAGATCCCAGAAGATCTCATCCTGGATGTCAAAGCAACAGGACCCAAAGTTTGGATACTATGAGACTAGAAAGTCTCAGTGCCGGTGGCAGACCCACAGGACCCGAAGGTTTGACATCCTGCAGGTCAGAAGATCTCAATGTGGATGTAAAAGCAACACGGACCCGAAAGGTTTGATACAATGAGACTCAGTGCCGGTGGGCAGACTCGACAGGACCTGAAGGTTTGACACCGTGAGATTTGAAGGTCTCAGTGCTGGTGGCAGACCCACAGGATCTTAATGGCTTGACACCGTGGGACTAGAAAGGTCTCAGTGTTGGGTGTAGGCCAAACACGGTAAGCCGAGATACCGATGAACCCCCCAAGTATATTATAACTTAGGGCACCCATAATGATCACACAAGCACGGTGTGTAACCTGCAGTCCCCTGTGTTTGGATGTGAAAGCTAACTGTGCAGGTTAGGATTTCATATTTGCCCCACATAGGCAAAACCTCCATCCCTTACTGAGAATCAAACTTGGGTCTTCCATGTGAGATCTAACCACTCAGCCAGCCTCTGTTCACTGACCTTATCACTTCTTGAATAATGTTTGGATACATAAAATGTCAGTTTTTGTTAAATAAAATTTATAAATGTATCTTTCAGTTGACTTCTGGCCAACAGTAGATATAAAAGTACTTATCATTATCATCCTGTGCCCTGCCAGCTGGTGTAGGCGCTCATGGGTCTCCACAGATCACGATCCCTGGCTGCCTGGAACAGCTCTCTTGATGATATCCCTTCATGCCATTGTTTCAGCCCATCCAGCATCATCTCTCTTGGTCTACCTCTTCATCTTTTCCCACTGATCTTCACAGTTGTCACGATGTTCTCTAATGTCTCTCTTCTCATTATGGGGCCAAAAAACAGTGCGTTTTTTTCTCTCTTATTGTTGTATATAGAGATCTACTTTCATTGGCTTCTTTCAAGCAGTCGTTGTTAGTTATGGTACTTATAGCATTTTTTAAATACATTTTTCTCTATGTTTCTTTCTTTCACTATTCTGAACAAATGTATATTGTATGAGGGTTAAATCTTTTTGTTATGTCTGGTGCATAATCTGTTGAACTATTTCCAACAGCAACCCACTAACAACCAGAAGGAGAAGCAGCTATGTTGTTTATGTTGTACATCTGGACCAATCATCGCTGAGATTAGACTTCCACAGAAAGGTTATGTCCCTGGAGAAAGATTAAACTTTGCAGCCGATATTGACAACAGCACCAGAAGAAAAGTGCACAACATCACAGTGGAGCTTCTAATGGTAATTATTTACTAAAAAAATGTCAGCATCATTAGACAGCTGTTTTTAATAATTTACATATAGTAAAGGTCCCTTTTCCCCGCCTTTAGGCATATAGGGCAATTAGGGATAGACCTATATTTTTTATAGTCCAGTCGGCACAGGATGGATGATGCGGTCAGCATGACGCCGGCCGCCTTTACTTCCTTGGACTGCATCTGGTACCCACTCAAGGTTGGGTCGACCTGGAAAAAAGTCCAGCTCCGCCAGGGAGTAAACCCACGACCTTCCGATCCACATGCGAGCGTCTAGCCGCTACGCGACGGCGACTCCTGAATGTTTTATATAAATGAATGTGAATGATCAATCAAAACAGTTTTTGAGTATCACATTTTGATAATGCCTCAGTCTCTCAGTGGTAATAGTGAGTGCCTACTAGCCCCGCCTACCAGCACCTTGATTTAGTAGTGAGTCACTGGTATTACTGCCTACCAATTAAAAATGTTTGTAATATCACTGCTTACCAATATGATGAAGTAATAGTGACTGCCTACTAGCAATGCCTAGCAACACACTGGTACAACAATGAGTGTATCAGTGCCTGGTACCAAAGTGGTGTTACAGTGAGTGCTTGCCTACCATGAAAGAAATTATTTATATTTAGACTGTGTTTCTGGACACAACAAACTCTGCAGCCATTTTTACAAGAAATTAAAGAATTGGGGGTTCAGAACTTTGTCAATGTGAACAGGTATCACAGAATACTAATATGTGCTAAAGACATGCTGAATGTATGAATGAATGAATCAATCAATCAATCAAAAATTGACATCACTGCACTCGGGACATTCCAACACATGCTCAGGCTCCCTCTTTGATAACCAGTGACAAGCTGACATGCTTATTGTACCAGCTGCAACCTGATTAAAAGTCGGCCTCTGTTTCCTCTTTAATGTCGAATATCTTCCAGAAAGTCTACATACCACTTGTTGAATTAATCTTTCAGTGTATGGATTCCCTATCTATTCTTTTGCACTGTCAATTTGATCACATAGAGCCTTCCCCACATGCGCTTTATCATGTAGGTCACCACCCTGAGGAGCGGCAGAAGCTAATCTATCAGCCTGTTTGTTATCTTGCACACCTGAATATCCTGAGAGATCCCAGGCTTGGCTAATTGGCATTCCAATGGAAACCGAGCTGTATGGAGCTGTGGAAGACATGTGACGCACCACAGACTTCATAGATGCCTGTGGCCTACTCGTCTGAAAACCACTGGCAGGGAGAATGTAAACAAGAAGCCTTTCAACAGAGTGATGTAAAACTGAGTGCTCAATAATGCTGCCTACTAACAGAATAGTTTTATCAGACACTGCCCAGTATCACTGCCGCCTATTAACACAATGGTGTAAAACAGAGTGCAGACATCACTGCCTACAAACACAGTGGTGTAAAACAGAGTGCAGATTATTGCTGCCTACATACACAGTGGTGTAAAACAGAGTGCAGATTATCACTGCCTACCTATGCAGTTATGTAAAAGAGAATGCACATTATCGCTGCCTACCAACACAGTAATGTAAAAGAAAGTGCCCAGTATCACCGCCTTCCAGCTAAGGGGTTTTAAATGAGAGTGCACAGTATCACTGCCTATCAGTACAGTGGTTTTAACAGAGTGCTGAGTATCATAACCTAATAACCCTGTGGTGAAATGGAGATTACTAACTAGCACTGCTTATCAGCACAGAGGTCAGCAAGCTGTCTGACCTTTAACAGTGGCAAAGATGAATTTCTTCATCATAATTTTAATTCCAAACAAGTCGAATAAATTAGGCACCACAAAATGTTATAACAAAGTAAAAAGGCAACCTTAATACATAGTATACCATTCAGTAACTGAAAATCAGACTGCACTGAATCACTATATAAATGTTTCCCATGAAGTCCTAGAGCAGGACTATTCAACTTGCGGCCAGCAGGCCAAATGTAGCCTGTGGATCATAGCCAATTGTACTGTATTAATGATCTTTCTAAGCTGGGGCTTGGGCATCTGATCCATGACAGTCCCCATTTTCAAAATTGTGGCCTCTGAGTAAACATAGTTTATTTGCTCTGTTCTAGAGGATTTGAGATGTAACATTATGGTCTCACCTAGTTAAAAGGTTAAAGGTGAGACGGTCGACCTCATTGCACTGGATTTTATCTTATACAGGTTGGTCTCTCTCTGCAGAATGGCTAGGCCCCTGCTGAGAGGGCCACACATGGCAATGACTCTGTAGCTCCGGCGACTATCCCTAGAGATCTCCGTACAAAATGCACTCGTGAACCAAATGATGCTGCCTTGAAATGAACCAACGACCTCAAGAACATAAGACAAATAGCTTGACCACTTCATCAGGAGCTAGGTGAAGAGAAACCCTAAAATGTGCCTTTTAGGTATAGGACAAACAGAGCACAAGAGTGTCTTAAACTCAGATTATGATACCAAGTATCCAGTTCGTGGACAACTCTAACTATGAGCAGACTGGTACTCACTTGTTACAGCTCAAAGTTTTTGTTAAAGGTGTAGGTAACTAATCATTGATTTAAATGATTTATGTGTTCAGAGTTGAGAACCAACATTACAGCACACAGGACATTCCCATAAGTGCTCTGTCCCCATCCTAAGCAGCAACTGCATAGTTCCAGTTCTAGTAGCACCAGTAACAGTCTGATTGTATGTCCATCTTGCCCCCTCTCCTGAGTGTTTAGTGATGGCCAGATGCACTGCTCACTCTTCACTGCACCGTTCTCTTCAGACCATGAGAATCTATTTGTGCCTCTGTGCTGTTTACTCGCTCCCAAAGGGCCCTTACAACATCTAGCTTGGCACTGATCAATTTACCACCAAGGGGTGCAGAAACAGCCAATAGGCCTATATATATCTGTTCATTTCTCAACACTCCGACATAGAATAGAAATAATATCCAAAAGATATGCCCAAACATCATCTGATGTAGATGTGGAAGTAAAGTGTAAACCACCTTATATCTTCTCCAGAATAAGTTTATGAAAATGTCATCATTCTAAAGTAAAAAAGTGACATGTTCAGAAACCTCATAGCAGCATCAACTGTGTAGCCTTTCAATGAGTAGTGGGTTGTTCTGCTTTATGATGGAATTATAGATACAAAGTAGTTTAAATCTATTCATGCAGTCAAACTCTTCCTCATTACAGACAACAGATATTGATGACATTTATGCCTGTTGACTAAATTATTAACATTTTTAATCATTAACTTAAATTTTCTGCAGACTACAACTTTTCATGCTGCCTACAAATCACGCTCAGTGACTCAGACAGTATCCAGAATACAACGTGGCAGTTTAAAATCTGGCAACAGTGATTCATGGGAAGGGGGCAGTTTATTGGTTCCACCACTGCCTCCCTCATTTCTGATTGGCTGTAACATAATTGACGTCAGATACACGTTACAGGTATGGGTAAACATTAGTAATATATAATTATTTAATTGGACATACTGAAGACATCAGTGTAAAGAAAAATAATATGGAGCCATCTTTAATGTCTATATTTTTGGTGATATGGGACAAGACATTAGAAAATAACTACTGGTGAAATGCGCTGTCTCCAGAAGCTCACTAAACACACAAGAAGGGGCAGGGTTGTGAATACCAGCATTAGAGAGAAAGCTGGAACAAGACCATGTCTGAATTATATTGATAGACGAAGAATGAAATGGTTAAGCTATCTAGTCAGAATGTAGCCAGACAAAATTGCATACAAGGCTTTTTACAGCAGAACATCTGGGATGAAGGTGAGGGAAAGACCAAGAAAAGAATGGATAAATGGTGTAACTGAAACGTGCCAAAAAAATGAAAAAAATCTATCATCCAAGCACCCCCCGAGAAGCGCAAGACAAATACCCTAACAGGAAAAATCACCATCTCTTACCGAGGATCCAACTTGAGTCTCTCACATGAGAACCCAGCCACTCTCTTGGAAGCAGAAAATAAATGACAAATACATTTTAAGGCATTTTTAACCCAACCTTATGGTAAATTATGCATTCAGTATTGGGCCTTGGAAAAGGATCAAGACAAGAAGCTAACTCTTCTTGTATTTAGAAATCCTAAAAGAGCAGACACCACTAGGGCAAATTCATACTGGGATATATTTATATTTAAGAAACAAGTATCCAACAACCCACCATGAATTAATTTAAAGAGAAATAAAGAAACATATCTTGGCCAAACAAGATAAAGGAAGGATATTCTAAAAGACCTTAACAGCTGAACTCGAAAAGAAAATACAAGCATTGAAAATAAGATCTTTCAGAAAAATTCTTGGCATTTATTACAGAGACCACATCACAAATGACAAGGCTCACCCTATAACCAGCACAATGGCGCTATGAACCTCTTCTAACTACAGTAAACAGACACAACATTTTGTGGTATGGACATGTAATACAATCTAACAGCTTCTCAAAAACAATGTTATAAGAGCTCAGTAGAGGGGAAGAGGAGAAAAAAGAAGACCAAGAAAGACCTGGGTAAAGAACTTCACTGATTGGACAGGCCTTAGTCATGTAACCATGAGTCCCATTGTGTCTGACCTGACCATCAAACTGTCAAAGGTGTAGACAGCTGATCAGACAGTCAACAACAACTGGTGAGCCAAAGACACACATTGTTACAGGACAATGATAATAATGATGATTCCAGAAGAAGTATGATACATCAGAGAGAAATGTGTTTGGAGTCTGGATAGCTGACTAACCTAAGACTGAAAGTCATTCTTATGCTGAAAAAAGATGCTAATAACTTCATGGAATTAGATGGTATAACACAGTTACTGATTAGCGAACTTGAGGAAACTGTTAAACTAAAATGAAGATAAGCAGGAAAAAATAAGAAATCATTAACCCAAAGATGTTAATGTGAGGATATACATGTGAATATCATGTTGGGAACTATAGAAGCCATTGGAAAATACACCTTTGTGACTGGGGTTTTACTGATGCTTAAAGAAACAAAGGAATAAGTAGTAGTTACAAGACACATTCTTCTTCTGCTCTTTATTTCCAATGGAGCTCTCAACCAACTCATGCTAGATCAGCCTACCTTTTCACTGTTGTTTGTTTGTTTTTTCTTACATAATAAGGCAACCCTAGAAAAAAGTGGTAAATTAGACAGTAGTGACAGTTCTTTTTTAGTTAGATAAGGCAGCCAAAACAAAACCCAACCATACCATAACAGTTGCCTCTTATGACATACCTGGTAGTGTGCAGTAATACTATTATTTGCATCCCCTAAAGACCTTCAGACATATTGTGAGAAGGAATAGACTCGAGAACTTGGTAACAACTGGAAAGATTGGTGGAAAGAGAGCTACAGGAAAGCAAAGAGATAAATACTTGGATGGCCTGGCTAGTTGGATCAGACAAGAAAAAAACACTGACGTAATCTGTGATTCTGGTGATCATGTGAGGTAGTGAAGTATGACAGCCTCCGCGTACCGGTATGGCATGTAATGATAATAAAAGACCTTGGTAATGCATGCATGAGATGACAGGCAAGATAAAAACAAAAGCTAGAGTGATCTTGCTGGGATTTAAACCTGCCCCTCCAAATGACAATATTGCCTCACTGAAGGAAAAAAGCTTACTTAACACGCGGCCACATTAGTATTCCCTCTCTCTGTCTGTTTCTCTCTCTTTCTCATTCAGATGTGACTAATTAAATGTTTTTAAAATTGTTTAATCTACAGCTTCGTGTATTTCCTGGCAGCCCAGCATTTGACTTGACCGTTCCTATAGAAATTATGATTGGGTCCGTCCCTTTGCAGTCAACATTAGAATACTTTCTGACAGCTCAGAATATGGTTCTGTCTCAGTCACAAGATGGAATTGCAATAAGTGGTGGGGCATCAGAAGTGGCAAGTGATATAAGACTTCAGTACTGTAAGTTTTACAGAATGATTGACCATTTTTCTACTTCTAGCCTCGCATATTTGTTTCAACAGTTATTATTGATCTTTTCTTCCTTTTCCTTCTTCTGTCTCTTCTCCTCATCTCCTTTTATCTCCTAGAGGTGTTATATATATTTAAGAAACAGGTACCCACCGTAAATGAATCTAAAGAACAAAAATTACCATATCTTGGTTAAAAGTGGGCTTTTCTAGAAGATATACTGTAGAGAAATCTGTTTGAAGTCTGCATTGGCTCTCAGCCCATTAACAGCAAGCTTTTTCACTGCATACTGTCTCCTGCTGTCCTCCTACATCAGTAATTCATGTCTAGTCTGTTTGTGCGTATGTTTAAGGTCTTCCTCTATTTCTTTTGTTTGGTAGAATCCACAGTAAAAACTTTACAGTTTATTATTAACAAATTTTTCCAATGTATGCCCTATTTCTGAGCTAGCAGTATTCCTTTTCTGTTCATTCATAAAATTTATTTAGTTTGCTCCATGACTTAAACATTGATGTTTCTGTCATACTATATAGTCATTATTTTTCACAGCTCCTGTGTGTTAATGGGATTAACAAAAGGAACATTGAATGGTAACAAGGGTAGTTTACCAAGCGTGTCATAAGGGGAAATTAAGAAAAGTTGACATTAGGGCTGGCTATCCTATGACAGAAACTTTAATGGCAAGATCCAAGCACCGATGAAGAGGAAAAAACCCAGATTTTTTTAAAAAGGAATCAAGAAAGTCACAGCTAATTAAAAATGGGTGAAGAAATGGAGGAGGAAGGGAGCCTGCTTCTTCAAGAGGAATTATGAACTGTAATGTGAAAGTCAAAGGAAACCTTATTTGCATATTTAGCTGCTCAAAAATCGCTTAAGTTGGCACTAGATATAATTATTCATCATTTTATGTTTGGTAAATCAATACGACATGAGCAGAATATTGTTATTTTTCATATGAAGCAACATGGGTATCACAAGACTGCATGCAATACAGTAAAACAAATTGATCACGTCTTTATTGGATACCGATACCAAATGAATACTAGTAGTACTTTGTGGTGGTTATCACCCTGACAAGACAGTGCCATGATTTAGCGCCACCAATAGTTGATTTAGAAGTGAAAGCAGTGGCAGAGGAACACACACATCACTGGAAGATGCTGTTATATATACAGATGGTTCTGGAATTTGTCAAAAGTGAAGTACATGGGCTTTCACAGCAAGAAATAAGGAAAGTCATCAAAGAAGACAGTGGAGCCTTTGCTTCTACCACCAGCAGCATGGAGGTCATGGCTGTGACAAAGACTCTAAAATTGATGAAAACTCAGAAATTCATTAATGCATGCTTTTTCAGTGACTCAATAATGGTCATGCTTCAGAAGATCAAGGCTGAGCATATAAGGAAACAGTGGCTCCATTTGATATAGTCCGCAGTGTTTGGCAGACAAAATCACCTTCATTTTTGTCCCAGAGCATGCTGGTGTTTAAGGCTATGTGAGCAGATGCCCTGGCTGGCAATGCGACTATCATGAATGAGCTATCTATGGACAGGAGAGACATCATCAGTGCCATCTAAGAGACTCAACGTGAAAGGCTTTCAGTTTTGTGGAAAATGATTTTTCACTGAATAGTTGCATACCCTGGGTGTACCAGCTGGAGCAGCAAGATAGAAAAACCATGCGGGAGCCACCCGTTGTTACATCAACTAGAACAGAATGGGAGTTGTGAGCTTAAAAATACTTAGAGACATACACAGGAGGAGATTGGAGCACTTATGGTCATGTCTGATGTGTGATGAAGACAGTCTGTAAATGAACAGTGAACTTTAAATAATGTAAAGTTTATAGAGATGCGGAAGTAAATTCAAATCACCATCTGCTTATAAGTACATCTTCCCCAGGAGAAGTTAACAGAGTGTTTGCCCCTGCTGGTCTTTTCCTGAAAGGAAAAAAGGGTGATTTCCCTTGGTCATCTCCATCAAGAAAGTAAATGAGCCGATTGTCCTAGTTGATCATCCCCATGAGAGAACAAACGAGTCATTGGCCTTTCTGGTCTCCCTCAGGAGAGACTATTTTTGTTGATCTTCTTTATGAAAGATTAAAGGGCCATTGGCACTAGTGATCTCCCTCAAACACACACACAAAAAAAGGATTAGAGTGATTGTCCTTGCTGGTGTCTCACAGAAAAAATCAGAATAATTATCCCTTTTCCCCTGTAAAATACAGCAAAGTCAAGGACTGGCTACCCCTGTAGTAGTATGTATAATGGGATTATCTGACACTTGATGTAATAGATTTTGTTTTGAGATTTATTTCAACTTTATCTTTTGCAGTGCCACCAAAATTCTTACCCTCACCAATATGTAAACACCAGGTGCATGATAATGAAGATGACCAGTGTTTAATGTTGGACAACAACTTTGTGCCTAAATACATCACTTTAAATTTTCAACCAGTTACCTCAAGGCAATAACAAACTGTTACATTTATAGTCTTTTCAAGAACATCATCGTTTATGATTCACTGTTATGTTATAATATTTTTTATAGTTAAATGACAACAATTTTATTTCATCATCATTATGGATCACAGCACCAACTTTACACTCAAGGATATTAAAGACTAACACTTTTTATTGATTTTGTTATGTGATTGTTGTATACTGATGTGAGTTAAGAACCGATTCCATTGCAGTAGAACTAAAAAGTCTTCTCTTCTTTCCTTGTTTTATGAAAGAATGGAGGAAAAATGATAAAACACACGGTATATGACAGTTTTACATAGCACAATACAAGAAACAAAGGATATTGTGGAAACAAGCCTTCATCAGGTTATGAATATACATAAACAGTTCAGACCCTTAGTCTTAGTTGGCAGCTGGTCTAGGAGGAAAGCTCTGATGGGTGGACAGACATAGCACTACTTTTTTGATCCAGCAGTTTCTGCAGCATTCTTTGTTCCAAATGCATTGGTGTCACCTTTCCTTTAAAGTAAACAGGAACAGTCATGTTGCAAGGGCAGCACATGGTTTCTACAATACAGCCCTGGCTTTGTGCTATGGAAAGGATGAACTTCACCTCTAGCCATTTTTGCCCATCACCATGATTCCTATGCCTCCTTATGGCACAATAACACTATTATCCAGCAAAGAAAAAATGAGTTATATCACATTGGTTATGTACACACCAGATTCTCCTATTTTTTTAATGAATTAATTCCATCCTAAAGTAGGTAAAGGTGTGTGATAAGTAATGCTCCTTTTTGGAATTTGAAGTGTTAGGCATTCACAAAATAACCCTGTGTGGGTTCTGAGGTCTCATTTATTGTTGGGGACATTGTAAAAGGCAAAAACTAAACTGCCTACATGTTACTAACTACATCATTCATTAAGTGATATTTAATCAATGTAAAACAACAGAGAAATTAATATACGACTTGCAAAATCACATCAGGTACTGGGACAACAAACACCACTTTTAACACCTATTTTATGAATAGGCACTAGAATAGAAAATAACTACATGTGAAATGAGCTGACCCTGAAAGGTCACTAACCACACAAGAAGAGACAGGGTTACTAATATCAGTATTTGAGAGAAAGTTGGAAGAAGACTGTGTCTGGATTGTATTAGCCAGACCAAACTGCAAATGAATGGAGGAAGAAATAAGAAGAAGAATCAGCAACAAATAGCAAACATCAAAATTAATCAATCTAAGCACAGTTATATGACAAAACATGGATCCATCCTACAAAAGTAGCTAACATACTAAATTAAAAAAAAAAAACATTATAATGAACATATTAAAATGACCCAATTGTTCCTTTTCTAATATTTTGAGCATGTCTGGAACTTAAAAAAAAAAATACAAAATATAATTTGTTAAATATCATAAGCCAGTAGAATTACTAGATACCATGCATTTAAAAAAAAAAAAGAAAAAAAAAAAAAAAAAAATATATATATATATATATATATATATATATATATATATATATATATATATATATATATATATATATATATATATATATATATATATATATATATATATATATATATATATATACACATATATATACAATAAACTGTAACTATTTTACCTATCTAAATATCATCAAAAATATTAACAATAGTGTGTTTTGGGAGCTGTGCTTAACATAATGGTTAGATGGTTGCCCGTTGGCTTGATAGTCTTTGATTGAAATCCTCATTGAGCAGATTTCAAGAACAAAAATAATTAACCTTGGTGCCCAGGTTGACCCAACCTAAAAAAGGGTACCAGACAATATCCTGCAAAGTAGCACATCACCCATTTAATGCCAACTGGTCTATACAAATATGAGTCTAGCATCATATGTCTGAAGTAAAAGTTAAAACAGCTTTAAATTAAGGAAATGGTTTTGAAATCATAAAACATGTGCAGTTGACATATCAAGTAAAAATTTCAAAATTATTCATTTTTAGCTATAGTGTCTATTTTAAAAACTATTTTTCAAATAACCTAAAACAATTTTAAATAAAGCAAATTTTTTTTTCACATACTGAAATTATAAAACGTGCAGTAGATATATCAAGTAAAATTTCATAATTATTCATTTTTAGATATAGTGTCTATTTTAAAAACAGTTTTAAAAATGACTTTTACAAAACAAAAAACAACAATAATTCTGCTTGTAGACACACAATATAAAGCTATGATTACACATATTGCTTGAAATATATGATGCTAAGCTTCACTTTCATTCTTTTTTGCATCCTCTTTATCCTCATCTGTAACAGAGAGAAAACAAACAAATGAGATTACTACTCAGTATGATAACCAAAGGTGATGAGTGACAACTATTATATGCATCACAGGTGTCCAATACATGTTGACAACAGTCTATTAGTTAACTGGCAGACTGTGAGAGGTAAACTGTGAGAGGTAAACTGTGAGAGGTAAACTGTGAGAGGTAAACTATGAGAGGAAACCACTGGCTTTAAAGACTATACAACAGACTGCCAGCAATATCTGAAATAAAATGTAAGAAAAAGTAAAGGACCCTTTTCCATGCCTTTAGGCGTATAGGGCATTAGGACTAGGCCTATATTTTATAGACAAATAGGCGCAAGATGGGTAATGTGGTCAGCATCATGCTGGTGGCCTTTACTTCCCGGGACTGCACCCGGTACCCACTCAAGGCTGGGTCGACCTGGGAGCCAAAGTCGTTTTTGAAGAAAGTCCAGCTCCGAAATAAAATGTAGCCCTCAAATTTAAAAAAATGTTAGCCATCACTGATACATATCATATTAAAAAACAATCAATGTCTCAAAAAACTGAAATCTCAAAGTGATGACATTTTTTTATCAACACAAACACACACAAATAAAAGTATGTACACTTGTTAAATCAATACACAGATAACCATTTGCCAAATAGGAAGTTTTTTTTTTTTTTTAAATAAAAAAAAAAATACAAGTAATACAATAAAAAGGTAAAAAAAAGGTAAAGTCGGGAGATGTGAACCACCGTCACTGTACACGGTTATAAATCATAAGTACTCTGCCACCAGTACAGACAGCTGATAAGAAATTGTCCACCTGTGTTGCCATCCACACGTAGCTTCATAGCTACAGCGACGTTCCTCCATTTACTCCAGAGTCTCAGCTCTGGTACCCATTTCCTAGAGGCTGGGTGAACTCCGGGAACTGCCCGGTTTCGAACACCGACCGTGGGCTGAAGCGAGTCGCAGCTGGATTTGAAAGCGGGTCTCCTATCGACTGCGCTAACATGGGCCCTTTAGTAATACAATAATACAAAGGTTCCCAAAATATTAGTTTTAAATGACATCTTGCATTTAAAATAAAATAAAGGAACCCAGACTGAAGTCTGCATGAATTAATATTCATATAAAGATTTAACAATGATATATTTCATTTTACAAAATAAAATACCTACAAACACACAAAAAAGGCATTTAATGCTAAGCAATTCATTGAATGGAGACAAATATAAAAAATCAAAGAGCTCGAAAAAGTGTCACCGTGTGAGGTGGCACAAATGCAGCTCTTGTTTCTTTTGAATCTCTTTTCAATTTCTTGAAGCTGTGGTTCCATTATGGGACAGAATATTTTTTGTAATATTTTGATTCCAGTAGATATCTTGTTTACTGTTTTGTTCTAATGGGGATAGTGGTTGTATTTGTTTTAGTTTTCTTGCATTACATGTTTAGATTGTGATAAGGGTAAAGCTATTTCTACATCTGTATTTAATGATATAATAATAAATGTCATTGCATCCTGGACAGGCCTATAGATTCTCTGTTGCCGGCAGCAAATGTGTAGGTGTTTACTATTGCAGTTATAAGTGTGGCATACTATTCCTCTCATCTGTTCTTTCTTGCTGATCCACACCTAATTTCTCATTCATGCAACCTTACACATGTTGTTACATTTAAAATCTATCTGCTACCGGGAGTCACTGGGGCCAAGCGGCTAGACGCTCGCCGCGGATCGGAAAGTCGTGGGTTTGCTCTCTGGCGGAGCCAGACTTTTTTTTTAAAATGACCTTGGCTCCCACGTCGACCCAGCCTTGAGTAGGTACCGGGTGCAGTCCTGGGAAGTAAAGGCAGCTGGCATGATGATGACTACATCAGCCATCTTGTGCCGATTGGTCTTTACAAATATAGGTCTAGCCATAAATATGCCCTATATGCCCAATGGCGTGGAATAGAGTCCTCTACTTTTTACTTTTACTTTCTTCTCCCAGGAGTCATTGACAACTAAAGGACCACAGTAGCTAGCACAGCCCCCCCCCCCCCTTTTTGAGGCACAATTTTTAACTGACCTAAGCTCTCAGGTTGACAAAGCGGCTAGAAGAAAGATTCCTGGGAAGTAAATGTAGCTGATGTGATACTGACCTCATCATCCATTGAGTGCCAAATAGTCCACACACTATACATTTAATTTTGTTCATGGCAAGGAAAGGAGTCTTACTGTTGGTGGGGACGCTGGGGATTATTGGCTTGCAATCAAAAACCTTCCGACACTAATGATACAAATTAAATTTAACACTTCCGCACATTTTGGAAGTTCAAAGACCGACATTCACTAACAAATATCATGTGAGCCCCGGGGCCCTACTGTGGGGAAGACAAAAAAAGACCCACTTGCTCCCCAGCAAACATGTAATAAAAGTCAACTTCTTCTTTCATTGGCTTGAAATAGTTTATCTATATCTGCAGTGTTATCTCTAGTATGAATCTCAGTGACTGTTGTAATTCACTCAGTGAGCTGTGGAGTTTGTCTTTTACCAGTGTTTCTCTTGGCCAACAGTTTTTCCATTATATATTGTATATGGGACAGTGTTGGAGGACGTGATCTGTTGTCTCAAGTACCAATCCACATGTGCATATGACTTATTTGCTAATCTTAAATTTTGTGTGCATGTGGCTGTGAAGTCGACTGCATCCTGTTCTAAGGTGTAGAATAA